TAAAAACTGAAATATTTAAATCATAAAAATTTACAATATCTTCTTTCAAAATACTTATGATATAGAAAAAACATTTATAATTTATATCTTAAAAATATATAAAACATTATATTATTGACTAATAAATTACAAACCTATCACAAGAGAAATATATTATATATTTTTATTTAAATCATATTTTTTTTCTGAATTAAAGAAATCAGTAATTAAAAGACATTTCTAAATACTGGATTTTTTAGTAAAATAAATCACACATAAAATTTATCAATAAATTTTTAGTAAAAAAAACTTACTTTATAGTAATTAATAGTTTGTGTCAATAAACTTTTTTTATTATGAAAATAAAAAAATATATACATATAACGAGACGATTTATTAAAATTTGTTAATAAGAAAATTGATAGAATGTCTATAGATGTCTAAATACTTTATTATAATATCGATATAAGAATGTCGAAATATCTTTCACACTTATACAAAAGTTTTAAACAGTAAAAAATCTTTAGTTGGATCTATTATTTTTAACCCAATAAAATTATAGATAGAATTATCGAAAATTAAACTTTATAATTTTTGATGAATATAATGATTTTTGCAGCTAATTAAACAAAAAAACCGAGTGTTATTTTATAATCAACATTATATACTTTTCAATTATATAAACAATTCAATTATGGTTTTTTAATTGGCAATCAATATCATAATATTTTAAATTATTTAAATAACTACTGAATCAATTGAGTATAATAGTCAGTTAACTATGATATTTAAGTCAATATAATGATTCTTGCAACAATACATAAAATAACCAAATCAATTATATAATTGCGTTTCATATGAAATTTACAATGAATAAAAGTTAAAATTATTCAAAAAAAATTTCTTCGGTTGTTGTTATAATTTAAAAATTTAATACATTTTTAAAATAAATCATAGTGATTTCATAATAGAATTCTTCGAAAAAAAACTTTTTGGTTGAGTTTTGTTTATAAAAATTTTTTATATGGGTAAATTTATCTAAATGAAGAAATTATTTTTTAGATTTAAAAAAACGATTAAAGAGTTTTTTACTTAAGAATATATTGAAAGAGTTTCTCGTCTCCCAAATGTTTTTTATAATAAAAGATTTAGTTATTATCTACAATGGTGAAAAAAAATAAAGCTACCAAAAAATATTATGAAATTTATGAAAATTTTATACTTATTCATATAACTGCTCAATTCTCTTGGATACAAAGTTTACTAAATTTTCACATATCTCTTATGATATTTTTAATTATTCGTCAACCATAAATTTTTCTTATTCAATTATTTTTTAATTTGTGTTTATACATCTAAATCTTTAAGTAATACAATCTGTTTTTTATGGAATTCATGTCCGGGTTTTGAGATGACCAATTATGTACATATACTTTATATTTGTCATAAAATTCAGTAATTAAAGTAGCTTTGTACTTCGAAACATTATCTTGTTGAAAAATATAATCTTCTTCAATATTTAATTCATACACTGATTTAAATAAATTTTTATTAAAAAATTTTATGTGATATTATACCGTCATGTTCCCTTTTATGATTTCAATTAACCCTATTCCTTGATAAGAGAAGCGAGATCATCATATAATGCTTTTTAACCATGTTTTACAGTTGGTTTTATAAAAATTTTCACATCTCTTATTCTTTATCTAGATACACAAACCATACCATCAAATCTAAACAGGTTTGTTTCAGTTTCATCTGACTATAAAATCTATTTCCAATAAGCTTCTAAACCCCTTAAATGTTCTTTGAAAAGTTTAAATTCAGAAATGGTATTTTTATTGTTAAGAAGAGGCTTCTTTAAAAGTATATAAGCGTTTAAATTAACAGTTTTAAAATAATTCTTTATAGTTTTAAAAGAAATGTTTATATTAAAGTCATTGTTAATTTTTTTCAAAATTTATTTTATTTCAATTTTTCTACTTTCTACTTTATTAATTTTATTTGAGAATTGTTCAAGACTTTTTGTCTTCCAGATCCTTTCTTATAATTTATATTATTAATATCTAACATACCTTTTAATAACCTTTTAAATTTGATTTGCTAATTAGGTATTTTCTCATATTACCTTCATAATATGATTTTTTTACTTTTTCAGCTTCAGTAAAAGTATATCTATATAATAAAAGAATTTTAACAAGTTTTCTTTATGTTTTCTAGGAAATTTTCAAAATAATTAAGACTCAGATTTTTTCTTTATTTTTAAATTTTAAATTTCTATTCCACATAACAATTTTATTTATTTTTAAACAAAAAGTTTGGAGAACAAATATAATTTATTGTTATTGCTTATGTAAATATAAAAATTTCACTTTATTTTTAGTGACTTAATTTTTATACACTACCATATAACAACTTGATATATTAATTCATTAATTATACCACACAATCTATAATTGTTATTAAAAAATAAGAAATCTTTCTTATTAACTATATTTTCATGAACTTCATGAATTATAATTTCATGTTAATTCATTGCTACAACCATATAAATGTTTTTCTTGGAATTGAGAATAGAAAATTTGTGAATTTTCTATAAAAGATATATCTTTGTTTTCATATAACCATCGAAAAGACTATTTCATTAAATAAGATAATCTTTTCCTCTTCATTCTTTGCTTCTAAACTAAAAAACATAGTTGTAAATAATTCTCATCTCAATAGTAGTTTCATTATTTAAATGTAAAAAATTAATATAATATACTTGAAGGATTAGAGTGAAAGTAATGAACGCATCAATCAATTACATTAATTTATATTTTAATATCATAAACACCAAGGAATAAGATTTTTTATCTAAGAATTATTCATCGGTCAAACAAGCAAACTTTGTTTCTTTCATACCTAAATAATTTTACAAATCTGTTTGCGTCATTATATCATAATAATAACTTCTAGAAGTACAAAAAGTTTTAAAATATTTCTGGTAAGGTACTCCCAAAACATCTAATATAATACGAATTAAATGATTTTACATGGATTATTTAGTATTTTTTAATTATCATCATTAAAAACAAATTTTTAAAACACTTTATTCACTCTTCTTACCAGATCTACAACCACTTTTCTTACCAGTTTTAACATTATTTTTTTGAATGTAATTTAATGGAATTACATTGAAACACAATAAAAACAATGAATCAAGTCCTTTTTTTCCTTGCAACAAAAAATACAATAAAAACTGAATTAATTAGAAGCTCAATAAAATCAATAAATCGTCAATATTCTTTTTAAACAAGCCCTCGTTTTTTAACACCAACTCTTTAAGTAACGAATTTAGCTTAGAATATATAAAACTTTTGTGTATTCTATGAATATGCTTGCAATTATTTAATGAACTTATTATGTTTTAAATAAGAACATCTATAATAGGATTTATAAAAATTTCAATTTTATAAACAGTGAAATGTAAGAATTATAAATTTATTTATTGCATGGTATATTAACATACCTTACACTAAAGCATATTACACTTTTTGGAAAAAAAAGCTTTTAATGCTTAGTAGGAGCATGAATGCAACTCTTTTAGATACAACATACATTGAGATTTTTATTAGAAATAATGACACATTTGTTAAATCAAATGCGGTATTAAGCACAAAAATAAAAATAATATACAGTGGTTGAAAATAAAATTGAGCCAGCACAAAAATATAATACAAACTACTGAAAAAACAAAATTTCTTAAAAAAGAAGATTAAATTTTGTCTATTCTACATACTTATTATTAAAAAATAAATAAAAATGACATGTGAAACAGAAATTTTAAAAAAATTGAATAAAAAATTGAGACTAAAATATTTTTTTAATTTTCCCTCCAAAAAATATTATAAAAAACACTGTTATTTTTTTACTATATGGTTAAACATTTTACGGAAACAAAAAAGATTAAAATGGTCTCATATTATGAAGCTAATATGTCAAAACAGGATATTATGAAAAAATGTTCAATAAGTAAATCAAACTTAAATAAGATTTTAAAGAGATATACAAACACGAGTAATATAAAACGTAAGAAAGGATCTGGAAGACCAAATGCTTTCAACGATTTTCAGATAGACTTAATGAAGAAAAAAATAGAAAAATCTTTAAAATTCGATTAATAAAAATTGCTGAAGAAATTAATAGTGAATTTAACACAAATTATTCTGCCAGAACTATTAGAAATTATCTTAAAACAGTTTATTTGTGTGTTTTTAGACCTTTAAAGAAACCTCTTCTCAGCAGTAAAAATATTTTTTCTAGATTTCAATATTCGAAAGAACATTTATGGGATTCTGAAGCCTATTGGAAAAAAGTTTTATGGTCAGACGAAACAAAAATAAACCTGTTTGGATCTGATGGTATGGTTTATGTACGCAGACCAAGAGGTTTTAGAGGTAAAGAAAAA